ACGAATGTGGCGATTACCATCTTGTCAGCAAAGCCCCAAAACTTATTAAGATTTAAAGCTTATGGTGCAGCTTCATTTGATTCAATGCTGAGCAGCAGGCCTGAAGAAACATATCGAGGACTTTAAAAAGACGATAATGGCACAACAGGATAAAAGCTTGTCCATGCTTTTATTTCAGTAGACTGGATACTGCAATAGTGTATTCACAGGGCTGCAAAGGAATCACATCATGAAAGCTGCAGCTGATTCAGAACGCTGCTCGCACGTGTTGTCCTCCACATCAGTCGGTTCTGACAGTCTTGTACAACTGACTATCCAAGTCAGTCCAAATATTGATTTTAAAAGTACTTTGCGTAGGTTTGTAAATCATTAAGCCTACACCTACATGGTTAGGGACCAAAGTATATTGTTGAACCCCTTAACTACCATAATTACGAGCAATCAAGGTGCCTCAGTCTTCTGGACGGGTACTGCTATCGGTTCCGAGGAGTAAAACGAAAACATGGAGAGGCAGAATTTAGACTATTATGTCCCGACACTCTGGAACAAACTACCCAATCAATGCACGTCCGCAGAAACGCTTACTATTTTTAAATCGAGACTAAAAACATATCTCTTTGGCTGCTTTTAATTGAGCTGCTCATATTCGCACTACAGTATGCCTTTTAAACATGTATTGTATACCTGTGGTGTTTATTTTAATTATTTTATTATCTTTGCTTTGTAATGCCTGTTGTAAAATGCAATTATATATGTGTTTTTGCTGTATGTATTCCTAAAAAGTCTTTTAATTTGTTTTGTAAAGCACTATTTGGACATAATGACACTTGTCGCGTACAAAAAAGTGCTATATAAATAAACTTGCTTTACAGCCAAACTTGACAGTCTCTTCTCTGTCATTGTAGACCGCAAATACCTCATTCCTTCCTTCTACTTGGATCCGAAATGCTTCTCATTTTGCGCTGTCTCCCGTTCAAATGAAATCGCCGCCAATCATGTTTCCAGGCTCGCGCCAGGGAGGGGTTACAAGGCTCGCGTCTTGTGCTGCATTCACTTGCACTCGGACATTAGAGATTTTCTCTCATAAATGTCCGATGAGCCACAACTTTTCTTACAAAACAAAGTTGCCAACTGGGGTGGCTAGGCATTTTTCTGAGGTGGCAGCTGCCACCCCGTAGAACCGCCACTGCTGAGGAGTCAAAACGTATGTCTAGTCTACACATCGGATTTAAGGTGGTAATAAAAAGACAACAAGACAAGACAAAATCATGTTAGCTCGCTTGAGTTTTTTGGTGGGATTCTGTCTTAATCTCCAAAACAAAAACCTGCCGTAAACCAGATTTAACTTATTCTGGTCATCTTAACTTTAAAAAACATTAAATGTTTCTTTTCATCTCGGACGATAGACTTGCAAAGTCAGTAGGATTCATCCTCTGGGGAACATGAATGTCTACACCAAATTAAAAGGTGACCACCTGGACCTTACAGATCTTCTGACTGACTCACCATCCTAAAGTCATCACTCTCATTGCTCAAAAACACAAGTGACATGATGTTTCAGCTGTGAGACAAATGTTTACTTGTGACTGAATTGTCTCCAGGCAATATTTCAAAACAAAGTTGCACACAGAGAAGCGACAGCGGCTGTATGTGTGTGACTCCTGGAGGGACGTATTAATCTGCTGCGAGGCGGAAAGTGTAAATGTAACATGCCTGTGTCGATTTGGAGGAGCACGGTTACTTGAACAGATAACTCTCAGTCTGGCAGTGTCACAGCCACTTGGGGCTTTCTGTCGCCTCTGATTTCCCACTAACTGCCATTCTGCATGCATGTGCTTGTGAGTAACAGGAGAAAGGGGTTGATTAATAATGTAGCCTACTGATGAACTTTCGAAAGGGAGAAGAAACAGGAAGCAGATGTCAGCTCTCACCAACATTCACACCTCTCTCACTACTTATCCTCCCATATTCATGCATACTCCCTACTGTGAAAATAAAGTTAAAATATTTTTGCTTCTGATTTCTCACTTTTGAAGTACTACAAACAGTGCAGAAAAAAAAGGGAGGGGACAATTTATTTTCTTGCACCGCAAACCAAATGAGTAAAATGTTTAATGATCATGAGCACGAGTGAAATTCTTTTAAAATTCAGACATACTAATAATAATATAAAAGACAGATATCTCAGCAGTTTGGCTGTTATCATTAAACATGAGTTATAACTTTAAATGACTTCTTTCTCTGTTTCGCTTGTAGTCAGAGTGCATTAGTATGCAAGCCATTGAGTGCTAAATGGTTTTGTATTATGAATTTCCCCGGCGCTGGATATTTTTATCTGCTTGTGTGTAAGTGTTTATCCCTGCTGAGAACAGGATGCCAAATGAAGGCAATATGCTGGAGATCCTGCATGGTGATATTATCTGTCAGGTATCATTGCTTTGACGCTGGCAACTTGTCGACCAAGAAAATCGATTGTTCAGCTGTCCTTGTGAACTTCACAAAGGACTATGCAGCAAAAAAACTTTTAAAAATCACCTGTCGGATTAAATCATTCAATTTTAAATCTTGACATTTCCGGGACGTGAATAGATTAGGTAAGGCAAGAAATTAGCGTGGGACCTTTAGAAGTCGACTGTTGCTGGTTGTCAATACTTCTTGTGATATTTGTATTGTTCAGGAATACATGGGAAAGTAACCGTATCCTTCATGTTGAATTTTGAGGGAGCCAAATGCATGGTTTTGTATCTCTGCTGTAAACAGTGTAATTGACAACCTGACAGTGAAACAGAAGCTGTGACAGAGTGTGTCTTTTACATTTGGATTTAAATTCAGAACTGACAACAGTAGGTTATGGATTTGTTCGGCCCCTCTACCGTCAAATGTATTCTCGGCAGTTTGTAAGATCTAACACATCTCACGACTCAGGGAGAAAAACCCTCCGACATCTTTGACATACTACTCAGTCCCCGCTGCGTTGGATTGACGATGCCGCACTATAACATGGAGAGCAAACTTATTCTTGGCAGTCAGCTGGATAGCAGCAGACAAGTGATTGCACTGTTGATGGGGGTATTCTGCACAGATAGGGGGTGGATGGAGGGGGTGGATACGATGAATAACAGAATACAAATGCTGTGTGATTGATAAATACTGTATGACAGCACTGTCTTCCCTATGAAACTCAGCAAAGAACAATGCCATTCTGACTGAAGTTGAAGGATGTATTAGTTGAAAGAAAGCATCAGTTAAAGAGATACTTGAAAACGTGACCTTCAATCTCTTTTCTATTCGTGGCTTTTGTGTTCACTTCAATGTTTATTTAGTTTAATCAAATAATGTTTTGATTTATTTTCTCTTATTTCGCTTCATTCAACAACTATTTTATTATTGCAAATTTTAGTGTTATCTCTGTATTTACCAATGTTTACATTTCCTCATGTAGCCTACTGCAGCTCTAAAAGCATGTATCCAAAAATGTCAAACTATTTATTTAAAAGGAGAATAATTCAATGGAGTTGTTTAGGAATCCTGTGGTTTTCTTTTCCTTTTCATTATAAAGAAGAAGATTGAAAAGAAGAACAGTCCAAAAGTAATTCTATTTCAATAAATACAATAAAAAAGGTTGTCTGTGAATTGGTGAGGGACAAAATGTTATTTGGCCGAGTGGATATCCATCTGTTTGGTAGACATTCAAGTTCTTGTGATGTAAACCCATTTTCAAATCTGATTTCTAAAGCAAATAAAGAAACCATAAAATACCTTTTAACCCTTGTGTGGTGTTTTGTTACTCAGCCAGTGTTCGTGGGTCTGGTGGACCCGCTGCCTTTTTGGGCTTCAATTCAACACAATCAAAACTATTTTATGTTAAAATACTCAACCAGAGGGGGAAGTGTTTACTCTTCATATTCTTCATACTTACAAGGCTAGAGTACAGTGGTAGTAGGTGGATCGTTCATATTATCCTTAGGTACATTTCGGTTAGATCACATTTCATTAGAGTTAGAGAGTGCTACTCCATCATCGTTTTTGGGAGGGGGGAGGGGGTGGGGCGCTGGGGGGTCTGAGGGGGGAGCCGGCTGTGCCGGGGGTGGGTGGGGTGGGGGCGAGGCCGCGCGGGATGGACGGCGTGGGC